AAACCATTTCAGGTGACTACCTCTTGAAGCTCATGGAGAGAATGCCAAGAGTGTGCAAAGCAGTAATCAGAGCAAAGGGTGGCTATTTTGAAGAAACTAGAATATAAAACATGTTTTCAGTTATTTCACCTTTTTTTGTTAAGTACATAACTCCACATGTGTTCATTCATAGTTTTGATGCCTTCAGTGAGAATCTACAATGTAAATAGTCATGAAAATAAAGAAAACGCATTGAATGAGAAGGTGTGTCCAAACTTTTGGCCTGTACTGTATATATATATATACATAGATGTATGACCATTGTGACTGATGTTCTCCAAATGTGTGCCTCTTTGTTCTATTGTATTGCTCAGAGATAATAAGTGGCTGAAAAGTCATATTGGCACAGACAGGTCTAGTTATCAAGGTGAGGTTAGCAGCTACACTACAGAGAGTCTATAAGAGCAACATCGGTGCAAAACAGTGAGAAATTAACAAAAATGTAAACTAAATCTATTGAGAAACAAAACCTTGACATTAGTATTACTTATTACAGATTGACTGTATTCACCAGCTGTTTCTTCCAACATCTGTGGTGATTTATGGATTTTGTTCAAGCTTCAGTCATGATGCAATCTGAAGGTAAGTGGCTAAAACAAGATGATTGACAATTGCTGCAGTGTGGACTTCACCATAACTGAATCTGGTGTAGCTGGCAATATCTGTGCTGAGGGGCTGGTGGCTGTTCTGGGTGTGTTGAAACAGATCGAGTAGGTCTGGTGACAAGTGAAAGAGAAGAAAGAGGGAATGCCAGAAACAATTGTGGTGCTGAGACACAAAATGTTTTGTCCACTCTGCATACAAGGTGGCAAAGTGGTGCGGTACAGCAAGAAGGCTCTGGGTCCTCGGGTGTCCTCCCACAATCCACAAATACACAGATTAGGGTAATTGCGGCTCTAAAGCTGCCAGTAGTTGTAATTGATAGTGTTATCCTATTTGTCCATAGTATTAGTATTAGCCCTGTGATGTACGCTGCCTCTAGCTACGATGGGCCCCCAGGTGCCTGTGATCCAGTAAAGGATAAGTGGGCACAGATACTGGATGGATCCACACATATGGACATAATATTAGAAACACCTGCTAATATAACAAACATCTATAAATATACATGAATTTAAATCTGTAAATCTGTATGTAAAATTATAAACATCTGTAAAACAAACCATCAGATGTGTGCTTTACAATAAGTCCGTGAATGCTCAGGGCTGTTCCCTGTGAAACTGGCTTCAGGGCATCACAGAAATCAGTTCTTGAGGGCTCTCATGTTGATTTGTTGAACGCCTTTTATGCACACTGTGCACATTGTTGGAAATTATTGGTAAAAGGTCAGAAAAACAAAAATATTTGGCCCGATCAAATTAACATGTAAAAATCAGCAGAGACCAGTTCTTTGTTCTGTAAAGGCACAATCACGGACTATATGTAGAGAAGAGAACTTTGCAACTTTGGCGCCTTGCAGGAATTTTGTGCTCGAATCTGAAAAAAAAACAACAGAACTACACACTTCATATGCTGACAGCAATGACTGAAATACAGCAGCATACAGTAGTGTCATGGTGGATCAGTTCAGTTAGTTAAACTTAGCTGTGAGTGACAGCATGACAAAAATCATTTAGCAGAACATTTTCTTGTCTTACCACGACTAAACCTCAACCAAAATGTCAACGTTTATGTAGCTTCAACCATTATTTTTGTCTGACTGTATCATATCTAGGCTTGGGCGGTATCATGGTAATACGATATACCAGGACATGTGGAGTCCTGATTGTTAGATTTTCAATATTGTCAAAAATACAGATGCTCTTCTTTCTGTTAAACTGATACGGAGATGCTGTACTGAGGTGATGCAGTGCACAGCACGCGCCACCAGAGGTCAGTCTCTCCTGCTGGAACAGGGAGCTTAGCTGACAGACAGGACCGTAAACAGCCGGCCTGAAACAGCATAGAAAGACCACATGGAAAAATGGTGGCAGAGCCAGCATATTTTCACATTTTCACATTCACATTTTCACACTAACAGATCTGTTACATTCGCACATTATTATGTAGAAGATGTTTCACCAGCACTGTGGTTACCCTGTGGTGAGGTCCAGGCACAGAGGCACTTGGTCATAGTTAGGGAAAGGTCATGTTTTGGCTTAAAATGACCATTTTGGGGGTACAAACCTGGGAGGAAAAGCAGCAATGTCTTGGTTCAAAATAACCACTATTGTACCTTTTTTAAAAGCCTCTGGAAACACAGCAACAAGTTGCTACAAGACACCCATGTTTTGTTCCTAAAAAGCGACTGGGAAAACAGCAGTGACTTGCTAAATCACAAGTGCTTTTGTTGTTTGTTGGTCTGCAGCTTGTCAGGTGTCTCGTGTAGGTGTCACGCCATCCATCATCCCCTCCACTTCCAGGTGACATCAGCTCATATGCTGTGTCCCTTTAGAAATTTTGATATAGGTATGAAAAATACAAATGTAATGTATTTGTGGTTTGCAGAAACACACAACACCAACATTTGCTTTTGGTAACTGGGCTGGAGTTTGAACAAAGCATGTTTTGTGATGAGTTAAGGAAATTAAACTCGTTGCAGCTCCATGAAAGTGAGAAATTTGAATTCAGAATATGTACAGTTGTATTTTTCTGTGAAACAGATGTTAGGATATTCCCTTTCTTGACATTTTAAGTTTATTTTTTTGTTTATTTACTAGACTAAAGAAGCTATGGAGTGCTGTGGGCGCCACACAACATATGCATACCATCCTATACCATTTAGGCTATCCCTCTGAAACATCAGGAAAGTATGAAAAAATAGAAACCACCCAGTACTTATTATAGCTTTCCTTTCATGCACAGTTAAAATGTCGAGAGTAATTTGTGCTGTAACACTAAATCAGAGGTCATTTAATTGAACTAAAATGAGCATGTTAAAGACCAAATGAGCTTCAGTTCACCTGTCAAAGAATATTTATTCTGAGTATTATTTTAATGTAAAAGTGACCCTGCTGATAATTTCTCAGCATGTCTCTTTTGCTCTCTTTTTTGTAACTTTCTCTCCTGTTAAAATGAGTGCAGTGTTGGTCTGAAACAACAGCGAATAGATTTTTCCTCGGTCCACAGTCCTGGTGGCATAATCCCCTCATTTTCCATTCCTCACACAGCCCTCAGGCTTGATGGAGATTGTTTTAGAGGTGGCTTTAGTCTGTGTAACAACATGCAACATCCCCTTTTTTTTATATTAAAAAATCTACTCTAACATCAGCACACAAGCTACCACTTAGTACAACCCATTGTTTTTCTGTGGATTTCCTTCCCCTCCTTTAAGAAAAAAATCACAATGAGGTTTGAATTACTCTGCTCACTCGCTTGTTTCTTAGTCTTCCATGGTGGAGCACTGAATCACACAAATCTCCTCGGGGGCTGTGCTTCACTAACAGGAAGTGGAACAAGCAACAGGCACATGTGTTTATGCGTGTATGTGTGTGTGTGGGTAAGTGGGACACACATGCACACACACATTCTGGTACTTGGTGAGGGAGAGTGAAAGAAATAGAGATTGATTGCAGAGGTTAAAGTTTTCCGGTGCTGTGCTGGGTTTCCATCATATAGAGCCGCTTTAGATTCACACAGACCATTGTACCAAAAACAATAACAACTCATTGTGGGTTTTGTTTGGGATGAGCAGCATCCTTTAACTTTCAGCCTCGCGACTTAACATTTCACAGTAAATAACGACGTGAGAATAAGAGCACTCATTAACCAGTCAAACAGCACGCTCCCCTCTCCGAGGTGCAGCGTGTGTAACCTCCTGCACACTCGAGGAAGGATTTAGGAATGAAAAGTAAGTTAATGAGTTCTGCTGGAGACAAAATTGCAGTTGAAAAAAAGGTGTGAGAAACAAATAGAGATGGGCTTTTTAATGGTGTTTGTCTCTGTAGTGCAAAGAAGTTACTGTATAAATTAACAGGAGGAAAACAGTCTTATAGTAAAAGACTTTCTCTTTAGGCTGCTTTGTGTGTGTGTGCACTCACATAATCTCAAGTAGTACAGTTACTGATTCAGGTAGGTGTTTTTAAAAATATAATCCTGATCCGTGTGTACACCTCGCTGAGTATAATTTCCATTATTTAGTTTCTCAGATGTTTAAAAGGTTTGTCACACCTGTTTTCACTGAGAGAGTGACAAAAGAGGAGAAAATATTGCTGAAGAAGAAAATATGATTTCAACAAAGGATAAATGTTGTCAACCGCCTCTTTGAAAAGGGCAGGATGTGAAAATCATAATCCTTCCACTGAAGAGAAGACACAATTACAGCATCACGTTTTCAGTAAAAGAAGAATAGCTCCCGCAGCCTTGTTAAAACCTTTCACTTACATTTTTGAAGTCGTGCACTTCAAGTACCTCCTCACTCCCATTTCCCATTCTGAAGATCTCAATGCGCTGACCGGGGTCGATCTCCAGCAAACCGTCCGTCTCTACGCCATCCAACACAGCCTTGTACTGGTGGTCATACACCTGCAACGGCACAAAAAAACCTTTCATCATTGTGACCGTTAGATCAATGTCACAGTGGTGCATTTACCACTCACTGTATCATCATTTTCCACCAAAGAATAGTACAAGGTCAGTAAAAGCATAAAAAGAAGGACAATTTTTGAGGAGTCCATCCAACATGACAGTCAGAATTAAGAATCGCCTGTGCAGACTTATAAATAGTTGCCAACACGTCAGATTTTTTCAGTGATTCAAATAGATGTGGTATTGACAGCTGTTCCCCAAGTTGTCAAAAAAAATAAAGCCAAAAGGAGTTTTGTAGAATGTGAGCACCGTCCTCCTGATGTCATCTGCCAGATCCAAAAAATAGCTACATCCATGGACAGGAAAATGCCACAACAATAGCAACAAGTGTCCATGAAATTTCTACATCTCCACAGATTGTTTCAAGTCAATTTACAGACATAACACACCTTAGAGTCTAAATCAGCATTTTTTTTTTTTAATCAGGAAAGTCGTCAAGTTAATTTCTCCTACAAACTAATACTAGTTTGACTGAAGATGACAACAACTGCCTTGATATGTCACTTGCTCCTGACTGAAATGAAAAAACAGCTGACATAAACATGATGTCTGACTGAATAATGAAGTGAAATAGCACTTGCCAGTTTCTAAACCTAATCAAGTAGTTTCTTCTTTTGTAAAGACACAAGTAGAAATTGACCATGGATGTGTAAAAAGAACTGGATACAGCATTAGAGGCGGGGCCTTGCTCATTCCTATGAAAGTTGCGAAGTGGCACAGTTGCTGCTGACAGACAGCTGCCTCTGTGGACAGGGACACTGAATGCAAGAAGGGGTCAGTGTGGATGAAAAACTACCATCTCCATGGTAACAATAGTTTCTGCCCCACAGTATCCGCCCAGGCTTTGACCCAGACGAAGAAAGCGTTAAATGCATAACAGAAGAAGAGGCAGGAAACAACATAGAAATCGACATCCAGAGCTGTGCATTTTTGGACGGACAAAATATACAGACCTGTAAAGTTGTCCATCATGGTACCAGTTAGTGTTAGCTAACCAAGTCTAACTCGTTTGTTGCTAGTTTGGTCTGTGATGTAATAAGTCAGCTGGAAAAGGGTTCAATATTAACAAGCTGAAAGGGGGAATAACGCCACCTATCATAGCGGAGTCGGACTTACTTTAGTCAATAAATCAATGCCCCTCACATGCTTGTATACTGGGACAGGAACAGTAGTCCAATAAATGGCCCAGATGAGTGTAACTGTAGCTCGACTAAACTGTGCGTGTAAACATACTGACTGTGGAGATTCATAGCCTGCCTGCTTTGCATTGTGGTAAACAGAATTTTTGCCTTCACTTCCTGTTTAACACCATTATAGCAATGCACAGACAGAAGGAGAATGACAGGGAAGTGGGCTAAGTTAAAAACAAAACATTTTAGTAAGGCTATAATTAAAAATTCATTCTTTGTCTGATTTTTGGGTGTGCCAGCTGCCTCTTTGGGCGGCACAGGCACACCCATAGCTACACGGGTACTCCGATTCAAGAATACTTAATTTTGGGATTCTTTCTTTACCGAAGACATGTGTGAGAAAAACAAAGTTTTCTTCCTAAGTTCAAGGTAACACTGGCTGAGTAATTGACATACAAATGATCATTTTGGAGGATGAAATATTCCTTTAATGTTGTGGACGGCAAAAACCAAAACAATGAGCTGAAAGTCAATAAAACATATATAACAGCTCAAAACGATAAAAAGCTGTAAATTTCCTTGACTTCCCATATTAGTTACACTAGCAACATCCATGATCTGAAACATCACAGCAGCTACAGTTAGTCATAAACTAACATCAGTGATAAGAAATACTTAATGCAATTAAAACATTTACACTGACAAGATGTGAAGTTAAATAATAAAATGTATTGATAGAAGGAGCCTTAAGTAAGTAAAATAAAGACCTTTTGAATCCCTGGTACAGTTAAAGCCTTCTCTTCACTGTTGCCTTGAAGCAGTGTTGTTTATCACAACTGCTTGCTTATGTACTGTTCTTGGATATGCATGGATGGCTCTTAAAATTCCCTGTCTGAAAAATGATTCATGCCCACCAGCTGAAAATATGCTATTAATATTTATGTGAGGGTTGTGTTATGATGAGAAATATATTGCTGAGTTCATCTTCATCTGTCTCAGTGGCAAATCAGAGCCTCGCCAATGAGACGCATGATTAATGAATACACTCAGATGGGAGTCCATCAGGATTTATATCCCTCATCAGAAACATCAGAATGCCCTGCAACGCTCCGATGCAAAATTAGCTCTCACTCCACACTCACATTCAGCATTTAACATGTTTTGTGTCTGCTTGCTTACACGTAGTATCCAGCACATTTAAACACACCGCATCACACGCAGTGATGACTTTTCTTCTGCTGGGAGTAATAATGATCAAATGGGATGTAATTCTTAATAGAAGATCACTGTTAGAATGGCACTCGCCTATAAATCTCCATTAACATGGGTCACAGTAGCCTTGGCTCCAAAGAGAAGTAGAACTTAAAATCGTCAGGAGAAGCCAAATTAAGATGGGCTTGAAATTTAAGTGTCAATTGAGCAGTTATGGATAAAATTGGGGCTATTAAACAGTCTGAAAGTCTGTGTGGTGAATTAAAGTTCTATTTGAGCATTTCTTTTATATTAACATAAAGGTGGAATGGAGGAATAGATTCTGGAGGCCTATTGATTTATACTAAAACAGTGAATTACATTTTCAGCAGGCTATCACTTTTGATGAAAATCCAACGGTGAGAATCTCCCCACTGCACCGGGTTGAAATAGATAATAATGTATTACAACAGTTTGACTTCAACTGGTTCAATATCCAAAGCTGCTGCTGTGCACCATAATTGGCATTCTGAAAATAGAAATGAATAGCCTCTGTACGGCCTCTTCTGATACTTATAGGTGCTTCAGTACATTGGGAAACTTGCAGTGTGATTTATGCTGCAATAAGAATGAGAGTTTAGAACACAGCACAATATTTTGCCTGGCTGTAATGACAATGATCGTTATAATTTGTTTTTTTGCTGACTCTGATTATTTACATCGTGCGTTTTGGTTTGAAAATATAGCAATGGGAGATTTAAAGAGGGCTTGTTTTGCATAATTTACTGGTACCGTTTCTAAACAGCAATTCACAGGAACGTCACTTGGCTGCAAAACCTTTCAGAAAATATTTTGTGTGAAAGTTAATTAGCTTCCCATATGACACTGAGCAGGAATATGAAAGGCCAGCACATATGAGAGGCTCCAATTTAAGCTACACTCTTTGTACAAAGGCCACTATATGATTACTTTGGTCACAAAGACTTTTATACTTGAAGACTTGAAACTCTTGAAAACCACTGTGACGTTAAGCTGCAGTAGGCAAGTTTTTGCCTGCATTTTTTTGGGGTTGTTTTTTTGGCCTCTTGCAGGCATTGCAACACACTATAAACACACTGACATACCATAAAAATTGTTGTTGCAAATAAAAGCAAACTTTAAATTAAAATTATTTTATCTGGCGGATATTTATCCAGATTTATTTGGACTTGTGTTTTGGTCACCTGATCATTTTAAGTCCATTACTCACTCTCCTTTTAACTCTGTCTCTGTACTCCTCAGATAAATATCTGGCTCTTAAAGGAATGCTTCCCTCGCCCAGATGATTATCTGTATATTAATGTCTCGTAACTACATGTCACAGTGACGTAGACCTTCTGTCTATTTTGTAAGCTGAAACCATTTCCCTCAGTGGAGCTTTGATTTACTTTAATTTTACAGATAAGAAACAATAAATTGTGAAGACAATAAAGCCTCCACAAAAGAGCATTTTAAGTCTTGTGTATGATTTATCCTGGCTGCATATGAGTAGAGGAAAAGTCTGCTAGCCATTAGGCTATTTTATACAATGTAACTTGCCATAGGCTTGTGCTAACAACGTTAGCATTTTATATTTGTTTGGAAAACGTGTTTAGTATAAGACAGTTGTTTTGTTGGTGAACCTTATGAGTTGTAATGGAGCCAAATTTTGTCACGTTACCTTTGTTAATGTTGAGGTTTTCCCTGGCTTCTTATGAGTAGAGGAAAAGTCCGCTAGCAACTAAGCTAGTTTATGCAATGTAAAATGCCATAGGCTTGTGCTAATAACATCAGCATGTTGTATTTGTGGGGAAAATGTGTCCAGATAAAGACAAGTGTTTGTCTGTGAATGCTGTGAGTTATAGTGAAGCTGATTTGTGTACTTGTTTGAAATTGTTGCTATTAAGCCATGTTTAATGTGTGTTAAAGGTGTGTTTTGGATGTTTTTTGAATCAACTAAACTTTACAGCACTTCACAGAAACCCTGACACAGACTAGTGTTTTGGACGTGCAACTGCAGAGTGACACAGACACACCACAGCACAAGTATAAATGCTCACAGCGGTGTAGACCATGTGTGTAAGCTACAGCGTAGGGTCTGCATAGGGTCTCAGAAGTACTGAGCATACGAGTGGATAAATGAGACTTGGAACATTCTCCACGAGTTGTGTGAGAGATTGTAAACAGATGTTTTGATATAGTTTTGCTGTTGTTAAGGTTGACCCCTCTGACTTTAATTCAAGAATTTCCTCTTTTTTTGGATTCTTCGTTCACCCGAGGCATGCAGAAAAAACAGTTTTCTTCATGCATTCAGAGTAACACAGGGCAAGTACTTGATGTACAAATGGTGATTTGTGGGGGGTGATGTATTCCTTTAAGCTGCTACAAGTTCAACTATGTTCAACAGCTTTTAGCTAACTTTGTCTGCTGTTTGGGCTGAGCTGGCTGCATAGGGTTCATCAGAGTTTATTTTTTAGCCAAAATCAGCTGCCTGCTTCTTTGAAAATGATGATGGGAGCAGGGTGAACCAAAACAGTAAAGTTGGAGGGTGTAAAACCAAAACATTGAGCTAAAAGTTGTTGAAATTCAGTGTAGGGA